TGTGAGTGTGAGAGAGTGTGTGTGTGTGTGAGTTTGAGTGTGTGTGTGTGAGTTTGAGTGTGTGAGTGAGTGAGTGTGTGAGTGAGTGTGCGTGTGAGTGAGTGTGTGTGTGCGTGCGTGTGAGTGTGCGTGCGTGTGAGTGAGTGTGCGTGCGCGTGTGAGTGAGTGTGCGTGTTTGTGTGTGTGTGAGTGAGTGTGCGTGTGCATGTGAGTGTGTGTGTGTGTGTGCGTGTGAGTGTGAGTGAGTGTTTGTGTGCGTGTGAACATATGTGTGTGTTTGTGTGACTCACGTTTGATGGTCAACTCTCCGTAGTTGGACACTCCCACGCCTATGTTCGAGTGGACGATGCATCGGTAACGGCCAGAGTCCTGTTTGGTCGTGTTCACCACATCAAACATGCCGATAAATCGCTGGTTATTCCACGGTTTGGTCGCTTTCATGGGAGCTTCCCGACCGCCGATTCCCTGCAGAGAGAAAGAGAGAACAGAGAATCAGTGAGGATCCACATACACACACGCATACGCACGCACACACACACACACACACACATACTTACACACACTCACACACACACACACACACGCTCAACCACGCACACTCATTCACATACTTACACACATATCAAAATTCTTGATGCACTGAAATTTCATACTTTTTGTTACCAATTTCAATATCACAAAAAAATAACACTTGCCTAAGTAAAAATAAGCTAACTGAAGACAAGTAAACAGTCACAAATTAGGCTACAACAGAGCAAAGATCGGAAAAATCGGCCTACTTGAAAAACTTAAAGCACTGAATAATAAATATTATATTGTATAAAGAAAATTTACAAATAGACTGAATAGTCTTCACTTTATAAATTCAATATGCATTCATTATTTCTTTTACAAAAGTGATTCAGTCAAAGACATTAAGTGAATTTATTTCTGATGTTTTATTTATATCATTGACACAGATGGCAACAGCAGCTATATTAGGCTGCTTTAGAGGAATCGTTCACCCCAAAATGAATATTTTGTTGTTGTTCTAACCCTGTATGAGATTCCTTCTGCTGTTGAACACAAAAGAATATATTTGGAACAATTCTGGTAACCAAACAGTTGCTGGGCCCCCACGACTTCCATAGTATGAAAAAATAGTGAAAAAATACACTATTGGAGTCAGCGGGGACCAGAAACTGGTCACGATCATTCTTCAATATATCTTCTTTTTTATGTTGGGGAGAAAAAAGAAATTCATAGAGGTTTAGAACAATTTGAGGGTAAGTATATGATGACCAGTGTTGCCAAGTCAGCGGTTTTCCCGCAGAATTGGGCTTCTTTAACACCTTTGCTGCGGGTTGTTTTTCATGTCCGTGGGTTTAAGCGACCCTAATTATGTGATAGTTAGCCCCTAAAATGCGAATTTTACCAGGGGAACCCCTCCAAAAACGTGTATTGTACCCCACCGGAATGCGATTTTTACCGGGGGATCCCCCTCGAAACGTGATTGGGCTAGTTTTGAGTAGCAATTGGGTGGGTTTTGTTGTGAAAACCTGGCAACCCTGATGATGAACGCTCATTTTCGGGTGAACTATCCTTTTAAGATCTCATCATATAATCCAGGATCTCATGTAGCCTAACACTACACATGCTTTATCTTTAACTATTAACGTTAATTTAAGACACAAATAACTGTGTTTATGAGGATACTCGCAAAGACGGGCATTTGACACATAACTATGTGCATTTGAACGTTTAAGCACAAGGAGCGAAAGTTTAGTCAGTTGCTATACAAGCAGGTGCGATACAAACCGTCTTAATGCATGTATTTATTGGAATTGAAATGAATTCTGCCCCACTGCTTAATGTCCATGAACAGTTTAAACCATGTTTTAAAACCTGCTTAAAACACGTTTAAATGATAAGCTTAGTATATAAATCATGACGCGCTTCAATCAACGATTGATATATTTACCGAATTATCTACCAACCCTTAAACTAATATAGTTTGTTCAAACACAAAAACACTATAAATTCAGTTAATAATCAAACTACCCTAAAATCTGTGGACGATGACACCGTTTTTATCTGCTCCATGTGCCCGGATCACTTGCTGTTCCAGCAACTTCCACTCCATCATCAGCTTTAGTAAAATAACCTGATAGCTGGGGATTTTACTGACTAACTCATGTTTTTTTTTCTGTTGTTTGTATTTGAAGGTTTTCATTTTTTTGAGCCCGTCTCTCAGAATTGCTGACATTTTTACTTATCGAATATTGTTCTTTGCGCGACCATTTCCAGATTCCTCCAGAACGAAGTGAAGAGAGGTGAATGCAGACATACTGGGCAGCGATCACCTGATAGATACGTGCACATATCGTTCAAAAGTCAAATATAGAATAAATGCATTTGATTGGTAAACCAAATTCAGACTTTACATTTCAATCTCAAATGGTAATGCATGGAATTTACAGAAAAACTCAACTAAATAACAGAGCTAATAAGTGGGGGGCGTGGTGGCTTTGGCGGTCGGCGCGACAGTCATTTTACCCCACAGCCAATCACGGGTCCCCTCCTTGCTCGGGCCCCATGCTGGCGCCTAGCCTAATGGTTAATACGGCCCTGCTCACACACACACACTCTCATACTCTCGCACACACACACACACACAAACACTCACCCACACACACACTCTCAAACTCTCGCACACACACACACACACACACATACACACACACACTCACACACTCTCTCGCGCACACACACTCACTCACTCACTCACACACACACACACACACACACACACACACACACACACACACTCTCACACACACTGTGGTTCCTCCAGCTGTCAGATGGTTCAGCAGGCAGATGGAGGCCATTTGTTCGTCAGTGATATTTCTTCATTACTGTCATCAGAGACTCTGCTCTTAATGTCTGGATCTCTTTCCTCTGTTAATGAGGATGTGTTTGTTTAAGTGACAAACTGCCGAGCTGAGAGAACGCTAACAAACAACAAACATCTCTCACACTAAACTAAACTAGTTTGTTCTACTTCCACTGCTGACACTCTATTGTCCCGCTCGCTATATATATATATATATATATATATATATATATATATATATATAGCACATTTATGACTAAAATAAACATTTGTTCACTCTATATCTACAGAACATCAAAACCAAACATTTTTAATTGAATTAAATGTGAAATTTTGAATTAGAAAAACATACTCTTAAAGCAAAATATATATATTTATATTTAAAATAAATCTTATTAGACAATTTTGCTTGAGTAAATGTGTCCCTGCAGCACAGAAGCAGTGTTAAGTCGCTGGGGGATATTTGTAGCAATAGCCAACAATACATTGTATGGGTCACAATTATACATTTCTCTTTTATGCCAAAAATCATTAGGATATTAAGTAAAGATCATGTTCCATGAAGATATTTAGTAAATGTCCTACCGTAAATATATCAAAACTTAATTTTTGATTAGTAATATGCATTGCTAAGAACTTCATTTGAACAACTTTAAAGATGATTTTCTCAATATTTAGATTTTTTTGCACCCTCAGATTCCAGATTTTCAAATATTGTCCGATCCTAACAAACCATACATCAATGTTAAGCTTATTTATTCTGCTTTCGGATGATGCATAAATCTCAATTTTGAAAAATTGACTCTTATGACTGGTTTTGTGCTCCAGGGTCGCATATGTGTTTTGTTTTTAAAGGAGGTTTACAAAGCAAAACACTGATAGAATGAGTGAAGAAATTCATTTGCTCTGTTGTTTGCGAGTGTTCTGCAGTGACGGCGGATTCTGTCACTGCCTCTTCATCAGTCGTTAACACACACATCATCATCATCATCAATGAAAAGACCCTTGCAGTTGAGAGTGTGTCTGACCTGCAGCCAGAGGTTGAAGCTGTCTCTCCATTCTCCGTTGACGGTGCAGAGGAACGTAGCGGTCTGTCTGGCGTTCACCTCCACGCCTTTGATATGCAGAAAGTGTGGCGTGTTCACTGGAGAAACACAGACGAGCCGTTAATTCACACGCCAGTCGAACAGTACGATTTTTTACGTGTTTTAAAGAAGTCTTTTCTGCTCACCAACCTGCATTTATTTGATCAGAAATACAGCAAAAGCAGTAAAATTTTTACATATTTTTACTATTTAAATCAGCTGTTTTCTATGTGAATATGTGTTAAACTGTAATATATTTCTGTGATGCACAGCTGTATTTTCAGCATAATTCCTCCAGTCTTCAGTGTCACATGATCTTCAGAAATTATCAATGTTGAAAACAGCAGAGTAGAATTTTTTCAGGATTCTTTGGTGAATAGAAAGATCCAAAGATCAGAATTTATCTGAAATAGAAATAGCTTTTATTATACACTCCACCATTCAAAAGCTTGGAGTCAGTATCATTTTTGGGGGGGGGATTATAGAAAATGTATAAATTTATTTATTTAGCAAGGATGCTTTAAATTGATCAGAAGTGATGATAAAGACACTTACCAGCTGTTTTCAACATATATCTGATAATAATCAGAAATATGTGTGTGTGTGTGTGTGTGTGTGTGTGTGTGTGTGTGTGTGTGTGTGTGCGCATCACAGAAATACATTACAGTTTAACAGAGATTCACATAGAGAACAGATATTTTAAATAGTAAAAATATTTCACAATTTTACTGCTTTTGCTGTATTTCTGATCAAATAAATGCAGGCTTGGTGAGCAGAAGAGACTTCTTTAAAACACATTAAAAATCGTACTGTTTAGAAACTTTCGACTGGTAGTGTAGTAAAACTTCTCACACAATTCACTCCAGTTCAATAAAACACACTGCGTGTCCAAAAACACGTCAATGTAACGGCAAACGAGAGACATGAATGAGATCTCACTAACATCTCGACCGATCCTCAGCAATGAGATTAAAGAGAAATCGAGCACAATACTCGCTCTCGTCTCCTGCAGAGGTTCAGATGAGATCTCAAGAGTGTCTCAAACTCTGATCAGTTTTGACAAAAAACTAAGTTTGCAATCGAGAGCCAAAGACCTTAGGAACTCAAATATTTCTCATATTCATGACTAAGAATTGTATTCACTATAATGTGCATGACTGTTGCATCAAAACCAAACTATATCTAACAAAACAATTTCCTTTAAAAAATATCAATATTTTTTATTTTGACTTTAAAGTTACTATATCTACAAGTTAAGATATAATTACCTAAAATGCAAAATTGCACAAGGCATTAAAACTTATTTCCAGAAAATAATTATTTTATTGTCTATGTATGTATTTATTTATTTTTTTGAAATGGAAATTTCGTTAAGCATAGACCTAACAAAATTGAGTGCATTGTATCCTTAAAACAAGAACAAAATCTATCAAACAAAACATTGTTTCCTTTATAAATATTTTTAAATTAATTATTTATATATTATATGTATATGTTACATGTACATGTTAATTATTTACCTAATAAATAATTTATAATAATTGATTTAAAAAATTTTTTTTTGTTTTTAATGATCTTTCTTTGGTACTTTTTTCACAAAATTAATAAGGCTTATACTTAAAACAAGTATTTTGAAAACAAATCTTAGTTTCACCGAGACTAAAACATCTCTCATATTCTCTCTAGCTCAATAAAACACACAGTGTGTCCAAAAACACCAAAAAGACTTCAATAATCTCTCGAGTTTCAGATGAGATCTCAACGATGTCTCACACTCTGCTCAGATTTGCCAAACGATCAAAAGTCAGAGATCTCGAGAGGATCTCAAATATTTCTCGTCAGACGATCTGAGCGGCTCTTCTCACTCGTTTATAACTCTCTACTGGTTCTACTGTAAATCCAACAGCACACATACTGATTCATTTATTAGGGTTCAATGTGATCTTAACCTCAGTCTCTTCAACTGCGCCAAAGATGTTTTATTACCGACATCAATATCTCCCTCTCAACCTCCTTGTTTTTCAGAACGAGTGCAACACAAAAATCATTATTGGTTTCTCATTTAATCTGCGCTCAGCTAATAATATTCCCCTAAAACTCTAACCTTAACTCTATTGATTTAACAGCGAGTTCTCATTAGTCTCTGCTACAAAGCGCACTCATATCTGGGTCAATGTGCATTTAAAACCAAACGCATCTGTGAGATGAAAGCTCATTTGAATCAGGTTATGATGTCTAATATTTGACTCGGGCCACTGTGACCTTGAGTTGATCCGCGGAAACACTGCTGTCTCCGTTCTTCAATATTTCGGCAGCCACCTTTATATCTCCAGCGCCCATCTTCTCTCTCTGATCGCTAAAGAAGCGTTTCTTTCCGCTGTGATGATAGCGAGACCGTCAGAGAGCGATGCTGTGCCGTATGCATGCACTCATCAGAGCTTCAACACAATCATCCTTCACAAATCCATCATTAACACTATATAAACATGTTGATATTGACCTCTGTTTAGCGAGTTCATCTCTGAGACGCACTGCTTGTGTTACTAGCGTTCTGTATAATGCATGCATATATATATTATCTGTGTCCCTGCAGCACAAAAGCAGTGTTAAGTCGCTGGGGGATATTTGTAGCAATAGCCAACAATACATTGTATGGGTCACAATTATACATTTCTCTTTTATGCCAAAAATCATTAGGATATTAAGTAAAGATCATGTTCCATGAAGATATTTAGTAAATCTCCTACCGTAAATATATCAAAACTTAATGTTTGATTAGTAATATGCATTGCTAAGAACTTCATCTGGACAACTTTAAAGATGATTTTCTCAATATTTAGATTTTTTTGCACCCTCAGATTCCAGATTTTCAAATAGTTGTATCTCAGCCAAATATTGTCCGATCCTAACAAACCACACATCAATGGAGAGATTATTTATTCAGCTTTCAGCTGATGCATACATCTCAATTTCAAACAATGGACCCTTATGACTGGTTTTGTGCTTCAGGGTGTATATATATATATTCTATAATGCACATTATGTCTTAAATATTAGGCAGTGTTGATTTACACTAAGTGCAAATAGCTGAACTTGTTGGCGGGGGACATTTTCAGTACACATACTGTATGTTTAATGATTTCCAGTACAAATATCTACTTTTTTTTTTACGTCAAGACACATTTACTTGAGAAGCAAAATGAGAGAAGATATTATGTCTTGTATTTTTATTAAGTAATTTTAAGCTTAAAAAAATTAAATATATATATTTATGCCAATGAGGTCAGAAAAATAAATTAGTTTTCCCTTTGAATTCACCCATATGTTGTGTTTTGGTCATTTTGATCTGGAGAGGATTTTCTTTTTCCTAAAAATGCTGGTTAATGTTATTGCATTGGACAAAATCGTAAAATAAATAAATATTTTATTTTATTTTATTTTATTTTATTTTATTTTATTTTATTTTATTTTATTTTATTTTATTTTATTTTATTTTATTTTATTTTATTTTATTTTATTTTATTTTATTTTATTTTATTTTATTTTATTTTATTTTATTTTATTTTATTTATTTTATTTTATTTTGGGGATTTTTTCCCCACCTTGTTACACTTGTGGTGTTCCCGATCAAAAATGGCCGGCCTAAAAAAAATAATTTTCTTATGCTATATTATTAACAAATATTGGATTGAATCTTTTTGTCCACTTGATTTCGTTTCAATCAGCACAGGTTTTGTGTTTCTGTTTAGAACTGATTGATCATAGGCCTCATTGATCTGAGCTTATGCACTTCAGTTTTTGAGTGAATATTGCTAAAATTATCCACAAATGAATAAAAAAGTAAACAATCAAAAGATTGAATCTAATATTTGGTGATTATTAAGCATCATGATTTTGAAAAGGCCAGTTAAAATTTAATTTTTTACCTCATTAGCAGGTTTTTTCCCCAAGTTTTAAGCTTACACTCACTTAGTTTTGATACGTTTTTCAGAAAACAAGACTTAATATCTCATGTCATTTTGCTTGTATTTTGATTTAAGAATGTTTAGTCCGATCCATTCATCCTAAAAGGGGAAAATCCCTAAAAAGTGAAGTGCACTGCATTATAGTATACACTATTGCAATTTTAGATCATCTGGGCACTCCATGTGTATCCCAATTCCATGTTGTGCCTAAATTCATATTGCATACTTCTTTCTTTCATGCACACACAGTAGTATGTCACTCTGAGCACTGCCAGTGAAACCGTAACTTTCTCAGTAAATCCACTTGAGCTCGACGTATTCCTGGTTTAATCTGCTGTTAAGGGACTGAATATCTACTTCACCATCTATAATCTGTATTCTATTCACAATCACTGAACAATAAACCGTTCATATGAGGATAATCCTATCAAATAGTGTTACAGTCACATTCATCAGCATCCGCACACTTCTGCTCTAAACTGCATTATTTGGATTATTATTTATTATGTATTAAGTAACATGAACAAACAATTAACAATACATGTATTACAGTGTTTATTCATCTTTGTTAATGTTAGTTAACATTGTTAGTTCACAGTGCATTAGCTCATGTTAACTAGCACCGTTTGATTTTAATAATGCATTAGTAAATGTTGAAATTAACGTTAACTAAGATTAACAAATGCTGTAGAAGTGTTGTTCATTCTTAGTTCATGTTAACTAAAGTAGTTAACTAATGTTAATTTATGAACCTTATTGTAAAGTGTTACCATAAATATGTGTATATATATATATATATGCAATGTATTATTATTGTAATAATAAATATTGTATTGTATTATTTACACTCTGGCAGTAAATTATCTATATGTAATTTTTTTATTTTTTTAAGTTTCTGTAATCTGATTACAAGCATTTGAATTGTTTTTGTAATCTGATTAAAAATGACAATTTCTTTATTACAATTGTATTGTACTTATTGTATTTATATTTTTATTTTACTTATTTTATTTATTTCATTTTTAAAACAACTGTTTTCTATTTTAACATATTTTGAAATGTAATTTATTCCTGTGATGCAAAGCTGACTGTTCAGCAGACAATGCATGTTTAATTCAATAATGAAAAGCATCATAATAAAAAATGAACTAATTCATTATTTTATGTATATGCCTAAGTTAGGAATAATTAAGAATTTGTATCTCTTCTGCTCAGTAAGGCTGCATTTATTAGCTCAAAAATACAGCAAAAACAGTAATATTGTGAAATATTATTATCATTTAAAAAAGCTGTTCTCTATGTGAATATATTGTAAAATGTAATTAATTCCTGAGATTAAAGCTGAATTTTCAGCATCATTACTCCAGTCTTCAGTGTCACATGATCAGTTAAAGGGGTCATATGATGCGATTGTAATTGTTCTTTCTCTTTGGAGTGTTACAAGCTCTTGGTGCATAAAGAAGATCTGTAAAGTTGCAAAGACTAAAGTCTCAAATCCAAAGAGATATTCTTTATAAAAGTTAAGAGTCCAAATACATAAAATAATGTTATTTTTTCGCAAGATCATATGACCCCTTAAAGATGCCGCCTAAGTAGACAGCAAAATCCCACTTGACCCTTTCCATCCTCCTCCATTCATCCTGCTAACTGATATCTCTCCAGCATTACATGAAAGCTTTATCGTCTTCTTCCCTCCTCTTTTCAGTCTTTTGTTTTCTTTATTACGCTCTCTTTTATGGCTCGACTTCAATGCCTGGAGAAAGACAGACGATATTGATATTTGGAGGGTGCCAGGAAAAGGCCAAGGAGCGGGTGATGAGGGTGTTTTTACGACAGAGACGGGGTCTTACTGCACTGATGGCCCTGGAGGACGACGTCCTTGATGGCCAGAAAGCCGCGCTGCCCAGAGGTCACCGCTTCAAAGACGATCTGCGGAGGAAAGAGAAAGCTCATAAGCACAGTGATAAATGGACGTGCTCTCAAAATGTCACACAGAGGAGTCCCGCAGGGTTCGAGGAGGTGAGGCTTTACACAATGCCACGCAAGGATGAGGAAAGCACCATTCACAATGGTCATTAGCGCTCATTAAAACACCATTTGGCTTTAGTTATTGGACCAAACTTGTTAAATCAGCGGCGTAAGGGGAGCGGGCTCCAAGGGTGCTCACGGTGAATCGGCTGTCTGTCAGATGGTGGCGTTTATAGACACAGTAAATCACGGCTCTATCAGCGAGGTGCTGCAGCAGCATGTGCTAAATCTGCTCACTTCAGACTTCGTTTATACAGCCAAACAATTCAACTCGACAGCCGGACTCTGGGGTTCAGGGCTAAAGAGTGCCGAGTGAAGGATTCTGGGATGCCTGCTCTCTGCTAAGGTTGCTATTATGATGCATATTCGGTGTGTGATGTGACAGGCGTCCCTTGAGCTGGTTCTGCGACGCAGGGGAACATCACGGTCACACTGACCTGCGCCAGCTGTTGACCGCGAATATGGCGTGATAAAGCAGATCAAATTATATATACAGTGAAATATATTTGAGATCAGCTGCTTTAGCCAAAAAATTGTGTTTTTGGTTTTGCCATAATTGTTTTAAAGGACAAATTCACTCAAAATTTAACAGTCATCGGTTTGTTTTTAACGGCATGCCAGCTTCTTTGGCTATTTTCATGATGAAAACCATACTTGAGTTATTAAAATTTTAAAACAGAATCTAATCAAGTTATTTAAGACTCATTTTTCCTACAAATTCTAAAACCAAACTTGGATTAACTTGATTAAACCTTTTTCTGTCATCATTTAGTCTCCCTCATGATGTTTTAAACCTGTATGACTTACTTACTTTCTTCTGTGGAACACAATGTTTTTGCCGTTCTTTTCCATTCAGTGCCAGTGAATGTATATCTTGATGTCATATTTAAATATACAGAAGAAAAACGATTTGAGGATTAAGATTCTCATGGATTCAAATGTGTGTCTGTTCCTCACATCTTTCTGTTATCGTTTACTCTCCCTAAAGTCATTCCAAACCTGTATGACTTAATCTCTTCTGTGAAACACACAAAAAAGATACTTTGAAGAACGTTTTCTGCCCATACAATGAAATTCAATGGGTTCCAATGTTGTTTGGACCTTAAAATTCCTGAAGTGTTCCAATGAAGAAAGTCATACAGGTCTGGGCGAGTAAATAATGACAGAATGATCATTCTGACTAATCTATCCATTTCAAGTCATAGTTGGACTAAATCACTTTCTCTGCATGAAGAAGAGTGATTTCTTCTGAAACGAGTTTAGACTGATATGAGAGTGAGTATATGAAGTTCTTCCATTTTAAGGGACATAACTGTAATTGAATGTGGATAAAAGTCTGTTTTAATTGACCAGCAGTCGCTGCCATCCATCCCCAAAAAAGCATAAACAGAGATGCTGATGTTTGACTGTCCAATTGGAGCGGTCAGAGGGACAGGATTCCCCTGGAGGACACGAGCACAGATGAAAAACAGGAATTAATGGCTTCTTCAGGAACTGGGTGCGGTTCTCCAGACAGACCATAATATTACACAGCACTGCCAGCTCTGTCTCTCTCACTCTCTCTCTCTCTTTAACACGCACACACACACACTGCAGCTGCTGCATCACTTTAACCCCGCCACTGCCATCAGCAAACTCTTACCGCACTCACGGACCTGGACGAGACAGAGATGAGACACAGTTTGATTAGATGAGAAGAGGTGAGATGAGATGAGAAGAAAGACTAAATGGGACAAGATGAGATGAGAGAAGATGAGACAATAGGAGACGAGATGAGACTAGACGAGATGAGGTGAGATGAGAGGAGAGATCAGATGAGAGGAGATGAATCAAGAGATGATATTTTATAAGAAGTGAGATGAGAGGAAAGACCAAATGAGACAAGTTGAGATGAGAGAAGATGAGATGACAGGAGACTCGATGAGATGAGACTAGACGAGACACGATAAAAAAAGGAGAGATGAAACAAGGTTTGAAGAAATAAGATGAATGAAATGGGGAGACAAGATGATAAGACATCATCAGATGAGAGAAGATGAATCAAGAGATGAGACTCGATGAGAATAAGTGAGATGAGAAGAAAGACCAAATGAGACCAGATGAATCAAGAGGTGAGACAAGATGAGATGAGACAAGATAAAAAACGAGGAGAGATGAAACAAGATTTGAAGAGATAAGATGAATGAAATGGGGAGACAAGATGAGAAGACATGAGATGAGTGATCAGATGAGACAAGGTTTGATGAGATGAATCAAGAGGTGAGATGAGACCAGATGAGAAGAGGTGAGATGAGAGGAGTGATCAGAAGAGACCAGTTTTTAAAAGATAAAAATGTTTCCAGAAATTAGATTAGATGAGAATAGGTGAGATGATGAGACTAGATGAAAGTAGAGGAAAGGAGAGAATGGGATGAGAAGAGGTTAGTTGAGAGATAAGATGAGACGAGAAGAGATGGGATGAGACATCATGAGATGAGATAAGAAATAAAACAAGACAATATGAGAGGAGATGACATAAGAGAAGAGACAATTTGAAAGAGATGCAACAAGAGGAGAGACAAGAAACTAAACCAGCTGAGAAGAGATGGACTGAGACAACATGAGACAATAAGATAAGAAAGAAAACAAGAGAAGATGAAGAGGTGTGACTAGATGATAGCTGAGATGAGGCAAGAACAGAGAATCAGAGAAGAGACAAGACTGAGACGAGTGATGATAGAACACAAATGAAATTAGACTAAAGGAGAGATAAGCTAATATAAGAAAACTATAAAAAAAGAGATGAGATTAGAAGAGACGAGACAAATCAAGAGATTCGAGAGAAGACCAGATGAGGCAAGAACAGAGAATCAGAGAAGAGACAAGACTGAGACGAGTGATGATAGAACACAAATTAAATTAGACTAAAGGAGAGATAAGCTAATATAAGAAAACTATAAAAAAAGAGATGAGATTAGAAGAGACGAGACAAATCAAGAGATTCGAGAGAAGACTAGATGAAAGCTGAGATGAGACAAGAGTAGAGAATGAGATGAGACGAGACAAAGTTTAATGAGATGAGATGAATAAAGAGATTCAAGAGAAAACTAGATGAAAGCTGAGATGAGACAAGAGTAGAGAATGAGATGAAACGAGACAAGATGAGTCGAGATGAGATGAGAAGTGACGAGACAAATCAAGAGATTCGAGAGTAGACTACATGAAAGCTGAGATGAGACAAGAGTAGAGAATGAGATGAGACGAGACAAAGTTTGATGAGATGAGATGAATAAAGAGATTCAAGAGAAAACTAGATGAGAGCTGAGATGAGACAAGAGTAGAGAATGAGATGAAACGAGACAAGATGAGTCGAGATGAGATGACAAGAGGCGAGACAAATCAAGAGATTCGAGAGAAGACTACATGAAAGCTGAGATGAGACAAGAGTAGAGAATGAGATGAAACAAGACAAGATGAGTCGAGATGAGATGAGAAGAGATGAGACAAATCAAGAGATTCGAGAGAAGACTACACGAAAGCTGAGATGAGACAAAAGTAGAGAATGAGATGAGACAAGACGAGTCGAGGTGAGATAAGACGAGACAAATCAAGAGATTCGAGAGAAGACTACATGAAAGCTGAGATGAGACAAGAGTAAAGAATGAGATGAGACAAGACAAAGTTTAATGAGATGAGATGAATAAAGAGATTCAAGAGAAAACTAGATGAAAGCTGAGATGAGACAATAGTAGAGAATGAGATGAGACAAGATGAGGCGAGATGAGACAAATATCAAGATATTCAATAGAAGACTAGATGAGAGCTGAGATGAGACAAGAGTAGAGAATGAGATGAGACGAAATGAGGTGAGATGAGACAAATCAAGATATTCAAGAGAAGACTCGATGAATGCTGAGATGAGACAAGAGCAGAGAATGAGATGAGACGAGACAAGACGAGATTAGATGAGAAGAGACTAGTCAAATCAAGAGATTAGAGAGAAGACCACATGAAACCTGAGATGAGATATGACAAGATGAGATGAGACGAATCAAGAAATTCAAGAGAAGACTAGATGAGAGCTGAGATGAGACAAGAGATTGTGAGGAGATGAGATGAATCAAGAGATGAGACTAGATGAGAAGAAAGAGCAAATGAGACTAGATGAATCAAGAGGTAAGACAAGATGAGATGAGAGAAGATGAGACGACAGGAGACGAATCAAGAAATTCAAGACAAGACTAGATGAGAGCTAAAATGAGACAAGTGTAGAGAATGACACAAGACGAGACAAGATGAATCAAGAGATTCAAGAGAAGACTAGATGAGAGCTGAAATGAGACAAGAGTAGAGAATGAGATGAGACGA